GGAGAGAATAGACAAAGCAAGGCCTTCAGCCAACCTTTTATAGGAAGAATCCTGTTTCAAGTGCCACCAAGAAACCAAGAACACGATCTGCCTAGATTAAATGATACCCCATCTCTGGCAGTGATTAAACTGTCAGCAAATAATAACAGGAAAGAGAAAGGGAAGAAAAACTAATATCTGATGAACAACTACATGCCTCACCTTGCACCGTCCTAAGCCACAAGGAAAGAGAAAGGGAAGAAAAACTAATATCTGATGAACAACTACATGCCTCACCTTGCACCATCCTAATCCACCAAGGTCACACCCCTCCTGTGGCTTCCCAACCAAAGACAGACTGATAGAGGAATACAAATGTCTGGCCCCATCACCTCAATTTGGGACAACTCTGAGGGGCTATCTTGGCTCCAGAACTGCCCATAGAATCAGCTCAAGCTTCAGATGCAACCACATTGTCTGATGGCTTCTTCCTTTTGCCACTTGTGCATCTTCATTTCCTTCCTCATCTTTCAAGAGCATTCCCCAAAGAGCCTTCTGCTAACAGTTCTCTCCACTTGTCAGTTTCCAAGTGAATCAATCTTTCCATCAAGAACCGTGCCCTAACACTGAGCCTGTTCTAAAGTTAGTCCTGTATCAGGAATGATAGAAGAATGGGATGATAGAATACAGATGAAGACAAATGGTGGTTCTAAAAACCAAAAATAAAAGACAGCAACAGAGACTTGGAGGGTAGAAAACAGCCAGTTACAGTCATTGAATAAGAACTAGCCACTAGAGGGCCCAGCGCTACAGCTCTGTAACTTGCTACTAGTCCACATAGAGTTCACAGAATTTTGCTCTTGAACTGGAAGGCATCCAGCATGACTATTTATACTAGGGGAAAAAGTTGTTGGCTCATTATTTCCTTCTCTTTTATGCCAGTGTGCTAGCCTGTTCTAAAACCCTATCACTACCCCTTCTATGCCATTACATACATAAGCTTATTTCCACAAATCAAGTCTCCAAAGTCTTTTTTCCCTCACCCAGTGTTCTCATTGTTCTCAAGGGATTCTGAAGCTATGAAATGTGGAATTGCAAATATGTGGTTATGACAAATCTCACCTAGAAATGGAGAAAAATAGCAACATAATCCACTGGCTTCTACTTCTTTCCTCTCCCCTTTTGCTCCCTACCCCCATTTGCAGTGAGGATCAGACATACAGGCTTAGAGAACGAGATCATGTGACCCGTCATAGAAGATGAAAAGTTTGAGAACATTTGTAATTGAATGAAACAAATTAACTTTCTACTGTGGACTTAGTAAAAAGACTCAAAGGAGATATGCCTCTACAGCCTATCTGGGAAGCCTATTTTTTAAATTATTTGTTTATTTATTTATTGGTACTGGAGATTGAACTCAGGACCTTGAGCTTGTGAGTCATGTGGGGGAACCACTGAGCTAAATCCCTGGCCCTGGAAGGACTTTTAGTCCTCTGGGAGTTGGGGGGCGGGTAATACTTGGAGGTTTCTATTTCTAACACATAACTTCCTGAGGAACACAGTTACATTGTATGGTCAATGGAAAGCTCTAAGGATTATAGGGAGTTGGATTTTATAAAACTGGGAGGATGGAGGGATAGTAGTACTTGTGCTTGGCTCAAGTGCCCACCACCACCATGTCTCTGGCAATGATGCCTACAAAGACACTTGGAGAATGGATATCAAGCAAAGTTCTTGGTAGCCAGGTTTACACTGGAATGAACAAATGGACGCCTTGAGCAACTGGGCCAGAAACCTCTGCTTGGCATACACCTGCTTGGACAATGAGTGTCTTCACAATATAGCTATAGCAGACTGATGACAAGTTTCCAGGTTTTCTAGATTGGGTAAGCCCTAGGATTTTTTGCATCTTCACAAAAGCTCTGAAACTAGATATCCTACCAACCTGGAGGTGGAGGTGAAGCTAAATTTAATCTGATTTGAATTAGCAAAATTAAATTTTAATTTGATTTGATCTTTTTAAAAGTAATACAATCTTGTACTTCTTACTAAGCAAACCAAATAAGTTTCAAAATTTGAAGCTCTAATAGCAATATATTTGGCCCAGGTTAATAAAAGAATAATAAAAATCTTTTAAGGGATTACTATGTATTAAGCAATTCATTACTTCATTTAGTCCTCACAGCATAACTATGAGGTAGACTGAAACTCAGAAAAGTCAAGAGGGTTTCCCAGAGTCACATTGTTTGTAAATGGTGGAACCAGGTCTGTTGGACCCCATGTCTAATTCCTAGAGCCATTCAATCCCTGACATATCATCCATCACTCATTAATTCATTTAGCCAGATTTACACTCAGACAATGAATGGGATTAATATACTGAGACACTGGGACAGATAGTAGAAGTTTAAAGAACAAAACAATCTTAGAATTCTAGAATGCTTGCACTGGCAGCTGGTGTACTCTGAAGAACAAAGGCTTTAGAGCCAGATAGACTAGACTGGAATCCTGGCTCTGCTATTCATACTCTGTGTGACCTTGGGTGACTTAGCGTCCATATATGTATATTACATAAAGCAATGTACATACATATATTCTCACTAGACTGATGTGAAGATTGGAGATAGTGTTACGCAGGACTAGCTACATAATTTTCAAGGCCAAGACAAAATGAAAATGCAGGGTCTTTTGTTCAAAAATTATTAAGAATTTTAAGATGGTGACAAGAGTATTAAACCAAGTACAGGACTTTTCTAAGCACATAGCCCTGATGGCATGAGAAGTTTCTGGCACAAAATAGGTCGCAATAGTCATGGTCTTTTTTTCTTTCTAGATTACTGATTCCAACCCTCTCCTTTTGCAGATAAGGAAACTGAAGTTTAAAGAAGAACAAAAAATGCAAATTAATTGTAGAGCCAGGATTACAATTTAGACCTGCTTTGTTTCCAGTATTTCCCAAGTGTATTCTGCAGGATGATTACAGATGTTCCATGAATAAAAGTTTCCACAAGAACTTTTGTAAAATACTGGATTAAGATTAACTAATTAAGATTAACATCTTTTGCAGAGCTCTTCAGAGACTTTTCTCTCTGCAACACAAATCTCCAAGACAGGGACATAATATGGAACATTGCCCAAAAGTATAGATATGGAATCCTTTTTCAGGAGCATATTAAATATCCCTTAAAATTATTTTTGAAATGCTGTTCTATACATTGCTTTACCTCAGTTGAAGTTTCCATGGGTTTGATCTGTGCGTGCAGTTTTTCTTATTCTAAATTAGAAGCAAACATATTCCTTCCATTAGGCCTTTGTGTTGGCATCTCTGTCCCAGCTGACTTGGAAGCCTGGGGATATAAAAAATAATGAAAACCAGATTCCAGGAAAAGCATACTTGTTTAGAGTCACCAAGTTGCTTCCAAAAGGCAAATCTAATATGCCTTTCTTGGAGGAATAGGAATATAAAGACAAAACATACACCATGACCCAACATTCTTTCCACTCTAGATAATTTGCTTTCAGTCACCACAGCCCAAGAGTAATAGCAAAAGTCCCATATAGAGTCACACAAGAAACCAGAAAAATCAGGATTATCATTTTATTAGCCATTTGATCTACATTGATTAATTCATCTGTTCATTCTCTCTCCCTCCCCTTTTTTTGAGACAGGGTCTTACTATGTAGTTCAGGCTGACCTTGGACTCACTATATAGCCAGGTAGGCCTCAAAACTCTTGGTGATACTTCTGCTTCAGCCTCCTGAGTGCTGGGATTACAGGTATGCACCATCACACCCAACTACATCACTTTATTTTTATTGACCACTCTTTTGTATCAAATCAGCCTCTCCAATTTGTGAACTAACATACATTTAGATTTCCCAATGATGATGTAACTGTATTGTATGCCTAAAATGTAGCAATGAACTTAATGGAAAAAAAACTGGCAGACTGGATGCTCTCTATAGGTCCTTTTAGCTCAAATGCTTCAAATTTATATATAGTTTTATAACCTCTTGCCTCCTCCTGTTAATGAAGCCCCTACCTCCCTAAGAAATGCTCTTCTTAATTTCTGAGAGGCCAAGGGAGTGACTGTCACATGCTGAACTGATGAGAAGTCAGGACCCTCCTGGAGTTGTCTAATGGAATGCGCAGGAGGAGACTACCTCTCTGACTCCCATCATAATGTACATTTTCACATGGGCTTCTAATAGGTCTTACTTTTACCTTTTGATTCACAGAGTTTTAGTAAAGTAGTCCTTTTACATTTTGCTATTTTCTACTTTGCCTTCTTTTCCTCTTTACTCATCACTA